GGCGGCAGGAGGAACTGGCGCTCAGGGTGCCACGGCCTGCAGGGGCCTCCGGCGAATCACAGTGCCCCGATGAAACAAAGGGTTGGCAGACTAGAGTGCCGTTTGTCTTACGCAACAGAAACAAAACTCTGGGTCTGGCGGCCAAACCTGATTTGAGTCACCATAGTGGACAGCCACAGCCTCTCACCAGTTTCCAGGCTGAGCCAATTCATAGACCTGGAGCCCGTGAGTGGGGGGCAGGTTCCTTGAGGGAGACCCCTGAAGCATTGCTGCGAGGAGTACAGCAGCAAAGCCACGGGAAGACTCCCCCTAAGGGACCTGCACCTGTTTACCAAAGTAACATGTAACAGGGGGAGGGAAATACTCAAGAGTCTCAGGAATGACAAGACACTGGCATCAAATGGATTCCAATTTCTTTTTCTTTTTTTTTTTTTTTTTGAGATGGAGTATCGTGCTATCGCCCGGGCTGGAGTGCAGTGGTGCGATCTCAGCTCACTGCAACCTCCACCTCCAAGTTCAAGCAATTCTCCTGCCTCAGCCTCCCAAGTAGCTGTGATTACAGGCACACATCACCATGCCCCACTAATTTTTGTAGTTTTGTAGAGACGAAGTTTCACTATGCTAGGCCAGGCTGATGTGGAACTCCTGACCTCAGGTGATCCACCCTCCTCGGCCTCCCAAAGCGCTGGGATTACAGATGTGAGCCACTGCGCCTGGCCAGACCGATGCCAATTTCTGACGACTCAAAACACCACTGTGAACCACCAATCAAAGGGGGATTTTCGGTCATGAGATGAAAGGTGGAGCCTCAGCCCATGTCTGACTCCCAGGGGCCAGTTGAGCACGTTGATCCACCCTCTAGTTTGACCCCAGTTCTTGAATGTGTAATTGAACGAAGTGCGTATGGCCATGGGCACACTCCGCACGTGGCCTCTTATAAGGGTACAGTGGAAGCCACGAGAACTTCCCCTGTGCCAGGACAGTAAACTCAAAACAATACTGAACCCCTGGAAACTGCAGAGATGAGTGCCTCCATCAAAGAGTCAAAAGACCAGCTGGGCGTGGCAGCTCACACCTGTAATCCCATCACTCTGGGAGGCCGAGGCAGGCGGATCACCTGAGGTCAGGAGTTTGAGACCAGCCTGACTGACATGGTGAAACCCCGTATCTAATAAAAATATAAAAACAGGCTGGGCGCGGTGGCTCAAGCCTGTAATCCCAGCATTTTGGGAGGCCGAGACGGGCGGATTCTGAGGTCAGGAGATCGAGACCATCCTGGCTAACACGGTGAAACCCTGTCTCTACTAAAAAATACAAAAAACTAGCCGGGCGAGGTGGCGGGCGCCTGTAGTCCCAGCTACTCAGGAGGCTGAGGCAGGAGAATGGCGTAAACCCGGGAGGCGGAGCTTGCAGTGAGCTGAGATCCGGCCACTGCACTCCAGCCTGGGCGACAGAGCGAGACTCCGTCTCAAAAAAATAATAATAAATAAATAAAAATATAAAAACATTAGCCGGGTGTGGTGGCACGGGCCTGTAGTCCCAGCTGCTCGGGAGGCTGAGACAGGAGAATTGCTTGAACCTGGGAGGCAGAGGTTGCAGTGAGCCGAGTTCGTGCCACTGCACTCCAGCCTGGGTGACTGAGCGAGACTTCGTCTTTTAAAAAAAAAAAAAAAAAAAGGAGTTTGTTTTTTTCCTTTCTTTTGAGACAGAGTCTCGCTCCGTCTCCCATGCTGGAGTGCAGTGGCACAATCTCTGCTCACTGCAACCTCCGCCTCCCAGGTTCAAGCAATTCTCTAGCCTCAGCCTCCTGAGTAACTGGGCTTATAGACATGCACCACCACGCCCAGCTAATTTTTGTATTTTTAGTAGAGACAGGGTTTCACCACATTGGTCAGGCTGGTCTCGAACTCCTGAGCTCAAGTGATCCACCTGCCTCAGCCTCCCAGTGTGCTGGGATTACAGGTGTGAACCACCGCACCTGGCCAAAGAAGAGGTTTAATGGCTGGGCACAATGGCTCACGCCTATAATCCCAGCACACTGAGAGGCCGAGGCCAGCAGATCACAAAGTCAGGAGATTGAGACCATCCTGGCTAACACGGTGAAACCCCATCTCTATTAAAAATACAAAAACAAAATTAGCCGGGCATGGTGGTGGGCACCTGCAGTCCCACCTACTTGGGAGGCTGAGGCAAGAGAATGGCGCGAACCCTGGAGGCGGAACTTGCAGTGAGCCGAGATCGCGCCACTGACTGCACTCCAGCCTGGGCGACAGGGTGAAAAGAGAGAGGTTTAATTGGCTCCCGGTTCTGCAGGCTGTACAGGCACAGCCCCAGCACCTGCTCAGCTTGCGGGGAGACCTGAAGGAGCTTTGACTCACGGTGGAAGGTGAAGCGAGAGCAGGCATGTCACGTGGCAAAAGCAGGAACGAGAGACAGTGGCCAGACCTCATAAGACCTCACTCACCGTCACGATGACAGCACCAGGAGGGTGATGCTAAACCATTCATGAGGAAGCTGCCCCCGTGATCTGGTCACCTCCCACCAGGCCCCACCTCCAACACTGGAGATGATATTTCAACCTGAGATTTGGGTGGGGACAGAGGTCCAACCTGTGTCACTCACCTCTCAGGTCTGTGCAGAGGTCAGACGGGTCTTAGAGAATAATGGGGATTGTGGAGAATTTAATCAGTCGCAGTCATCCCAGTAGCTGCTGCCCCATCAGGAATATCTTTTCTACAACAACTGAACACACTCCCCTGGCACCTGGTACCCAGCTAGCGACTTGCCTAATGCTTTCTTCCCTCTATACCAGTTTGCAAAGATCAACAGAAGCCTTTGCTTTTACCAGACCTGGCCAGCAGTACACCGTCACAGCTCCCCGACTCGGAGTGCCTGCTACAGATCTTCATCGCCTGGCGTCCTCGAACATCACACTGATCCACTGATGCATGCTCATCGGATCCGAGTGGAACAGCAAAGGTTCCCTTGTCCCCCTCGCACGGGAGCGGCTTGCCTCTTCAGTGCCCACTGCTCAAACCTCTGGGGGAGCATACAGACGGGCAGTGTCTAGCAGTGGATGCTTATAGCTCCGGAGGCCCCAGAGGGCGTGTGTTACAGGGTGCTCTTTTAGTTTAGCCGTCTGTAGGCGGCTTGTGTTAACCAGCTCAATTAGACCCCCTTCCTTATCACAAGGACAGGCTTTCTGAATCCCAGGTGCTTGCCTTGGTGGACCGGAAGTATCGGATCATGTCTGGGCCTGGAGAATGGGTGCAAGGTTTTATTGAGTGCAGGTAGCTCTCAGCAGACGGGGGAAGCCAGAAGGGGATGGCGTGGGAGGGTTTTCCCCTGGAGCGGGACCACTGAGCAGCCCGGGTTCTCTCCGATCGTCCTGGACAAACTCCACCCCATTCTACGGCCAGTGGCCTCCCAGAGCAACAGCATGCTCTCCTCCACACCCTCTCAACGTCCAGCCAATGTGTTGCTCTTGATGTCCAGCCACTTGTGTGTCTGTCGGCTAGAGTCCTGGGGATTTTACAGGCACAGGATGGGGGCGTGGCAGGCCAGGGTGGTCTCTGGAAATGCAACATTTGGGCAGGAGAACAAAAATCCCTGTCCTCACCCAGGTTTGTGGGCACAGGCGGTGGGGGAATCCCTAGCCAGGGACCACGCCTTCTCTACCTAGCTCTTCCCCATACATGAGGAGCAGGGAGTAGCAAGTCTTTTTTTTATCCCAATGTCCCCATGGACACCAAGGAAAAAGGACTGCAGATGTCTTAGTGAGACAAATCAGAGGGTGGGAGATGAACCCCACAAAAATTCAGGGGCCCCCTCACCTTCTGGAGTCCAAAGGTTTGGAACAGGTGATAATTATTCTCCTTTTGATGTTATTTGTTATATTTTTTGTAGGGATGGGGTCTTGCTATGTTGCCGGGCTGGTCTTGAACTCCTGGCCTCAAGCCATCCTCGGCTGAGTGCTTTTCTATGACACTTAGTGAACGCTGGGGAACCACAGCCAGGATACTCAGGCGGGAACCAGGGGCTGGAAGCGGGTAGCTTCTCCCTTTTATTCCTTATCCCCCTTCACATGTTTCTTAGCCACCCAGGGAAGAATGCTTCTGTCGGGGACGCAGCCATGATTCCTTGGAAGGAGAAGTTGAGCCTGGCCATGCTGGGCTCCTCCTGGCACTGATCCACAGACAGGGAGCAGCGCAGTAGAAGAGGGGAGATCCCAGGGCTGAAAGGCTGGGTGAAGGGGCGCTGCTGGGTGCATTTCAGGGAACACTTTAAAGTGCCAAACGGCCAGGCGTGGTGGCTCACGCCGGTAATCCGAGCACTTTGGGAGGCCGAGGCGGATGGATCACAAGGTCAGGAGTTCAAGACCAGCCTGGCCAATATGGTGAAACCCTGTCTCTACTAACAAAAATTAGCCAGGCGTGGTGGCAGGCATCTGTGGTCCCAGCTACTCAGGAGACTGAGGAAGCAAAATCACCTGAAGCTGGGAGGCAGAGGTTGTAGTGAGCCGAGATCGTGCCCCTGCACTCCACCCTGGGCGACAGAGCAGGACTCCATCTTGAAAAAAAAGTAAAAAATAAAAAGAAAGTGCAAAATGTTAGCTATCACATCACTAAATGCAGCATTTTGTGTTCAGAACCAGTGGGGGCAGTCATTCCTGCACAAGATTCCTGAAAGCCTGAGGAGGCTGAATTATGTTAATCTAAAAGGATTCCATCTAATTAGGAGATAAGAAATTTTCCCCTTCACCTGCACCAGAAGGGTGCACGGAAACACGTCATTTAGAACATCCCGGGCCCTAACATCCAGGTATCCGTGCCACTTCTCTGTACGGGTCCAAGGAGGCCGCGGTGTTCGCGGCGGTCGCCAAGACCGGCGGTCTGTGGTTTCGAACCCGCGGCAACGGCGCGCGGCCGGGGGAGGTGCTCGGACTTCGCGTTCCGCGGCGCCTGGCCCGGCGCGGCCGCCGTAGCGGGAGGATCCGAGCTACGGTGGCCGTGAGGCGGCGGTAGCGATTGGACTCGGTGGGGCCGGAGCCGGGGCCGGGGCCGGGGCCGGGGCCGGGGCCGGGGCCGGGGCCGGGGCCGGGGGCGGGCGCCGCCATGGGCAACCTGTTCGGCCGCAAGAAGCAGAGCCGTGTCACGGAGCAGGACAAGGCCATCCTGGTGAGGACCCGGGCCCGGGGCCAGGGCCGGGGCGGGCGGCGGGGCCGGAAGAGCCCCGCGCCCTCGGCCCCCCGCGTTCGGGTGGGGAAACTGAGGCGCGGCGCGCAGCCGGGCCACTCGGCCTCTCCGCCCTGCGTCCTCCTCGCCCGCGGGGCCTCGGGCCGGGGTCTCCTGCGCGGCGCCGTGGCTGCCGACTTCCCCCGGGCCCGCGCGTCCGCCTCTGCGAGCCCCGCCGGGGTGGGCGCGGCCGGTGACTGCGGGATTCGACGCCGGCGTTCGGGGCTTGGCCACAGCCTGGCGGCCTGGCCGTGGGGTCCGCGCGGCGCTGGGCTTTCCCTGGCTCTGGGCCCGCAGGAGCAGGTCCCGGCCCCGGGGGTCCCGGCTCTCCCGGAGTCGCTGCCCCCGCCCACGTCCCTCGGCTCATTTGCCCCCTGGTGCCCTGGGCCGGAGCCCCCTCGGTGCTCCCGGCTTCGCGAGGCCGTGCGGGGCCATCCCCTCTCCCTCGCCCCATCCAGGCCAGGACTGGAAGGAAGTCTGCCCTGGTCCGAGGAGCGGCCGCCAGGTGCGCCGAACGCCTGCCGGGGTCCTGCCGGGTTTCCGCAGCGCCTGGGTGCAGGACCACCGTGTTACCGTGTTTGGCGCGTTTGTTTGCGGCGACTCCAGACTGACTCCCCGGGGCACAGCCGGGCCGGTGGTGGTGCCTGTTCCCATGTGAAAGTTAGCTTCTGTAGGATAAGGAATCGCTTGGCATGTCAGGGACACGGCAGGTTAAGAATAGTCCATTTTTGTAACGGGATAAACGTGAAATGAAAGACACCCCGAAATGGGAGCAGAGCTAGCTTTTTCGGATGCTTTCTTTTCTAAATTTTGTGCAACAGAAATAATTTTATACTAAAAGAGAAGTGAATGCAAATGAAAAAGGGGATCTTACCTTGGCATCTGAGTCCATAAGCTATGAAAAGAAACAACGGGCACGTTTGTCCCTGGAGAAGATGGGCACAGCACTGGGCACCGTCCCGAGCTGCCTGTAAGACAGCTGGGCCCAGCCTCCATCGTCCGCCCTCCACCTACCCTGGCAGCCCCAGGGCACTCCCTCCCCTCCCTTTAAGGACTCAGTTCCGGTTTCTCTTCAAGCACTTGCCAAGCACTTGCCAAGCACTTGCCAGGGGCCACTGTGGGCTCTTGGCTGTGCAGACCCGTGTTCCCGGCTGCCGTAGGTCTCCCCAGGATTTTGGGTGCTTGGGAACAGCATCCTTAGCACACAGTAGCACAAATGATTGCTTTTTTTTTTTTCTGTTTTCCTAGGATAACAGGTGTTCCCCATGCAGCCTGTGACCCTCCACTGAGACCTCGTTTTACAGGGGGCAACCTGGCCACACCTTTGGCCCCTGGGTCTCCCCAGCAGTGGGGCTGGGCAGGGGGCACCTTTCACTGTGGAGGACCCACAGGTCTTGGCACTGTGGAGCGGAGACTCCGAGGGTGGAGGGAGCACTCTCTTCCTATGCAGAGCCTCAAAGAGGCACACAGTCCCTGACCCAGCTAATTCCCCTCAGCCTCCTGCCTTAAGGCCATAATCCCTCTGCCTGCATGGGCTTACCATTGTCTGAAGTGATGACGTTTGGAAAACTCAAGGGCCTGATAAGGCAGGACTGGCTGAAGTTCCTCAGTGGCCGAGTGCCCGCTCTGGGGCGGCGCACAGATGAGAGGCGGTCAGCGGGGCCGCGGGGCACATCACCGAGTGCGTGTCCCTGCAGCTGAACGGTTGGCAAAGCGGCAGGGAAGCCACAGGCACCTCATGTGGCTGAAGCCCAAGGAGAGATGCTGGGGGGATGTCTGAGTCCTATCCTGGCCGTGTGGCTGCTGGCACTTGGGTACTCACTACCTGCATGTTCTCGAGTCAGAACCTTTTTTTTTTTTTTTTTCCCCCCGAGATGCAGTCTCGCTCTGTCGCCCAGGCTGGAGTGCAGTGGCACAATCTTGGCTCACTGCAAGCTCCGCCTCCCAGGTTCACGCCATTCTCCTGCCTCAGCCTCCCAGGTAGCTGGGACTACAGGCGCTGTCACCACACCCAGCTAATTTTTTTTTTTTTGTATTTTTAGTAGAGACAGGATTTCACCGTGTTAGCCAGGATGGTCTCGATCTCCTGACCTCGTGATCCGCCCGCCTCGGCTTCCCAAAGTGCTGGGATTACAGGCGTGAGCCACCGCGCCTGGCCGAGTCCGAGCCTTTGAGGTCCTGGCAGCTGCTCCCTGACCTGAGCCCAGAGCGTTCATACCGCTGGCGGGCAGGCTCGAGGGTGGACCCACGGCAATGCCGCGGCGGTCCTTCCCATCCCTGTGATGGACTGTGGGTCCGGGTGGACCCTCTGGTGGGACCGCCCCATGCGTGGCAGGATGTGGAGCAGTGTCCCTGGCTTCCACCCCCCAGATGTGTCCAGACAGCACCACCTGTCCCCTGGGAGACAACCCTGCCCCATGAAGGACACTCGTGGAGGGCCGCCTGGCCTCCGTGTCCGGCGCTCAGTAGCACGGCCAGGGCCTGCAGCGTGGGCTCGGTGACACCAGGCCCGCTCTCTTTTGGCAGCAACTGAAGCAGCAGCGGGACAAGCTGAGGCAGTACCAGAAGAGGATTGCCCAGCAGCTGGAGCGTGAGCGCGCCCTGGCCCGGCAGCTGCTGCGGGACGGCAGGAAGGAGTGAGTGGGCCCGGGCAACGTGGGCACCCTGTCGGCTGGGGTGGGACGCCGGGCAGGGCCACAGCGGGTCATTCTTGGGCTTCCCTCTGCAGACGGGCCAAGCTGCTGCTCAAGAAGAAGCGATACCAGGAGCAGCTCCTGGACAGGACAGAGAACCAAATAAGCAGCCTGGAGGCCATGGTAGGTGGCCGGGTGCTTCGCCCTGGGGTGCAGGTGCAGCTGGAGGCAGCTCTGCCCGACTGCATGGACATCGGAATTTCTCCCGAGAGCGGAAAGCTCCTCCTCTCAGATGCCTGGGGCTGAAGCTGACCTGAAGTGGGGCGGGGCTGGAATCCTGGGCTGGAATCCTGGGGAGTCTGCCAGGAAGCTAATGGTCTTAAGGGGCTGGGGGGCAAGTTGTCTCTCGCAGGACTGAGGTGGGGAAGGCTGGGCCACGCCTGGGTGATGTGGGTAGGTCAGGGGTCTGCATGGGGGACTGAGTGTCCCTGGCGTTAGGGACCCGAGCGGCGTGGTTCTGCTCCTGGGTAACCAGAGCTACTAACTAGCAACCAGCGGTCCCGAGTGTCTCCCCGTCGCCTTCTCCGTCCTGCGCGTCGCCACCTGGCAGCGGGAGAGGACAGGGAGGAGCAGGTGTCAGGAGTCGCCCTCACGCCCAGCAGCACCCGTCCAGCGTGGTGTGAACCCTGCCCCTGGGCCAGGAGGAGGGCATGCCGGATCCTCAGCACCTGCGTCTGCTCTGGTTTCCTTTTCAGGTTCAGAGTATTGAGTTCACCCAGATCGAAATGAAGGTGATGGAGGGGCTGCAGTTTGGAAATGAGTGTCTGAACAAGATGCACCAGGTGGGTCTCTGCAGGGCCAGGGGCATCGGGGCGCGGGGAGCCCAGTGGGGCTGGAGTTGGGGGTAGGGTGGGGGACTTGTCTCACGGTGTTTGTGTCAGACACAGGGCAAGAGGCTGGCAGGAGAGATGTGTCGGGTGCTGCCAGGCAGGCAGGGATGCAGTGACCTGAGGGTGGGGTGCAGCACAGGCTGGGAACTGTGGGAACTGTGGGAACTGGGTCCCCAGGCGCTGAAGTGACATAGAGGGGAAGTCTGAGGGTAGGGAGGGGTCCGGCAAACTAATCACAGAAGGCTTCCTGGAGGTGGTGGGGCGTGGTGGCTCACACCTGTAATCCTAGCACTTTGGGAGGCCGAGGTAGGCAGATCACGTGAGGTCAGGAGTCTGAGACCAGCCTGGCCAACATGGTGAAACCCTGTCTCTACTAATAATACAAAAATGAGCCAGGCGTGTTGGCAGGCACCTGTAAACCCAGCTACTCAAGAGGCTGAGGCAGGAGAATCACTTGAACCGGGAGGCAGAGGTTGCAGTGAGCCGAGATTGTGCCATTGCACTCCAGCCAGGGCCATAAGAGCAAAAAGAAGGCTTCCTGGAGGAGGTGAATACCGGCCTCGTCTCAGGCCGGGCATGGATGTGAAGCCCAGCGTGGCCATACCACGTTCCCCTACCAACCCCATCACACTGCTGACTTGGGGGGGCCAGTGGGTGGGGCTCGTTGGGGACTCACCTGGCAGGAGGTCTGGCTATGCCACTTTTCCAAGTGTCTGGTGAGTACTGGTGGTGTGTGCTGGTCAAGCACAAGTGGCCCTTTGACCTTGCCACTCAAATCAAGTCACCTGCTCAGAATGTTCCACCTGTTGCTTATTTTTACCTGTGGCTGTGAGAGCTGACTCAGGTGTGAGAGGAGCAGCGGGCATCAGAGCACTGCAGTCGTGGCCTCTGAAAAGACTCATGGAACAGCTCCTGTGGCCTCAGGACGGGGCCATGCCTGGGACACGCATGGCTTGGCCTCATTTAAACAGAGACAGGAGCTGGGTGTGGTGGCACGCACCTGTAGTCCCAGCTACTCGAATGGGTCACTTGAGCCCAGCCTGGGCAACACAGCCAGACCTTGTCTCTGAAAAATAAATAAATAAAAATAAACAGGGGCGAGGCCGTGGCCCTGAGAGCCCAGGAGGCCTCTGTCGGGGGTCTACGATTGGCCCCACCCACAAGAGTCAACACCCGTCACCCTCGTTCACAGGTGATGTCCATTGAAGAGGTGGAGAGAATCCTAGATGAGACGCAGGAGGCCGTGGAGTACCAGCGGGTAGGTGGCACCCTGACCAGCCTGCCCCCAACTGTGGGAACCCACAGGGCCACCCTCTGTCCACCCCTATGTGGGCCAAACTGTCCCACACCCTACAGCGGCCACCTTCTCTCAAGGGGACGAGACCCAGCCACAGGCCGTCTCCTTCCTCCATGAGGGGCCTCCTCCTCGCTGCTCTCACCACCACCTGTCCTTTTGCAGCAAATAGATGAGCTCCTGGCAGGAAGCTTCACTCAGGAGGATGAAGACGCCATCCTGGAGGAGCTGAGCGCGATCACTCAGGTAATGGCCCCTCAGGACTGAGCAGTCACTCGGGCGACAGGACCCCCGGGACTGAGCAGTCACTCGGGCGATGGGACCCCCGGGACTGAGCAGTTGCTCGGGCGATGGGATCCCCAGAGCTCAGACCCCCAGTAGGCCCTGCCCGTGGTGATCCCGTATGTGGTGTCCCTTAAGTCAATAGTCTGGAGTTTGTAACTAGCTTTCTACCTGAGGTGACTTGGTTTTCAGGGTTGCTCACCTGACAGTCTGGTACAGGCAGGCTGGCCCGTGCCCTGGACGGAGCTGGGAGGCTGGGCCTTCCTGGTGCCTCGGCCCCTTTCTATGCCTGGCTGTCACGGATGTGGTGCTTGATTCATGGGCTGGCTTTCCCCAGCCGTGGCTGCTGACTCACGCCCCACGCAGGCCCTCGCCATGGGGGCTACGTCCTGGCCCCACGCTCACATCCAGGCTCTGAGTTCACTCCCCAACAAAGGGGTTGTCCTCTCTGTGGGCCCCTGCCTCAGTCTGCCAGATTCTCATGGTGCCCCCAGAGCCGGCCCCTGCTGCCAGCTGCCCCAGTGCTTTGGTGCTGTGTGGCCCGTGGTGCGCTGCGCCCACCTGCCTGTTCAGTTACTTTCTCCTGAGGGTCCGAGTCCTCGGGGGCCTCCAGGGCAGGCCAGTTGAGAGGCGGAAGCACCGTTGCTGGCTTAGGCAGCCAGGCTTGCTGGGACAGCATTGTACCACGGCCCGCCCCACAGTGGTGGACACCAGCGTGACCTGGGTGTCTGTGTCACCACCCCTTGGTCCCTAAAAGCCAGTGTCTCTGGGGTACACCCAGGATGTGGCCACCTTACGGCCCCTCGGGGCCTCAGGGTCTGTTGGGAGGAGCCTCCATGGTGGCAGCCGCATCACCTCCCAGGGGATTCTGGTGGTGCCAGAAGCTGGGGCGGGTGCAGACTTGGGTCTTCTGAGCAGCACATTCCTGTCCGCTTTAACTCCAGCTGAGAGCAGCTGACTGACAGGATCCGTGTACTCTCACGGAGGCCCAGGAAGCCTGGGGCCGACCTGTCACCTGCTCATGGCCTTACCCTTTGCTTCTTGCAGGAACAAATAGAGCTGCCAGAGGTTCCCTCCGAGCCCCTTCCTGAGAAGATCCCAGGTATTTCCATGCTTGATTCTTTTGAATGGTTGGAATTCACAGGAGAACAGAGGATTCTAGAAGGGAGCAAGACAGAATGCTCCCAGCCCTTCCACTTGTCTGAGGTCGTCCCGGCCTTCCTGGGCCGTGGGCGAGCCCTGCGTGCCTGGCTATGTGGCTCGGGCGTGTGTGCCTGGCCTTGGGGTTCGGCTTGGGTTTCCCAGGGGTTGGGTAACTGGGTAACCTCGTAAGAGAGCCATACCCCATTCCAAGAGGCACATTCAGAAATTGGAACTGGGAAAGGCTTCTTTAGCAACTCCAGCTCATTCCCAGGGTCTAGCCCAGGATTAGCCGTCAGCCAGGTATGGCTCTCCCCGTGGCACTGCTCAGCCCATGCTCTCCACCCTGCCCGCTGGGAACCTGAGTCTTTAGAATCATCCATCCACATTTGTTCTGTTCCTTTACCCATCTTTGGGGCTCTTCTCTCTGGGGCCCACTGTCCCGTGTCCCTGGCCCCGTCTGTCAGCCCCATTGGCTTCCTGTTTGTCACTTGCCTCCCCCAGAGCTGGGCGTGCCCTGCCGTAGTGCGAAGCCTCCTGAGCTGGCCCTTGCCACCCCTGTGGCCTCGTTCCTCCCTGGAGGTCTCTGCCTGTGGGTCTTTGGCATGTCATAAACATCTCTGTTTCCTCCACAGAAAACGTCCCTGTCAAGGCCAGGCCCAGGCAGGCGGAGCTGGTGGCAGCTTCGTAATGTGGCCTCCTCTTGCGGGACTCGCGGGGGTGCCCCAGGGACTGTGGCCCACAGAGAGTTTGGGTCATCGCCAGCCCCTGACCGGGTTCCCTGGAGCCCAGCGCGCACGGTGCTGAGCAGAGCCACAGCCACGCAGGCGCACGTGCAGGAGGACTCCAGAGTGTCTCCTGGCGACCTCGAGCCTGAACGCACTCAGGCGCCACCGGCCTGCTCTCGTTCTGGATTAAACCCTCGGCTGAGCCCAGCTTCTGCCGGTGGTGGCTCCCCCGGCGGCCGTGGCCCAGGCCCGATGCCTCTGGTGCTGTTCCCCTGCAGTCCCAGCCCCCCGCGTGGCTCGCGCGTCTGTGAGGAAGACACCTCCAGACCTTGGGGTCCCCGCACTTCCTCTCGCTCCTCGCCGCTCCCATTCGCTGGTGCAGGCTTCCGTTAAGGGGCCCCTCCCTTGGCCTGGCTTCTGGCGCACCTCAGCTTCCCTGCTGGTGGGCGGACCCCGGGGAGACCAGCATGTGCTGAACCTCTCCGTGCCTCTGCCCCCGCGCCCGACGCCCACCTCCCGTTTGAAGGTGGCCGGCCAGGGGTGTTCTTGCTGGATTGACAACACCTAGAGCCCCGACTCCCTGCTTGCCACTCATGGCTCTGTCCACCAGGGCTCAGCCCGGCTGCGAAAGGACCTCTGATGCTCGGGAGACGCTGCTCCAGCAGGTGCAGCCCCTGAAGTTTGTCCATGGAGGTCCCTGCGGCTGGGGCTCATGGAACTGCGAGACCCAGGACCCTCCTGCTCTGCAGGCCTCTGAGCCACCAGCAGCCAGGACTGGAGCCACCAGCAGCCGGGACTGGAGCCACCAGCAGCCGGGACTGGAGCCACCAGCAGCCGGGACTGGAGGCTGTGGGGCATGGCGTGACTTCTCGTGCACAGGGCTGGTTTGGTTATGAGACGATCTCGCTGGGACTGCCCCTGCCTGTGGAAAACCACAGGGACAAAGGGAGCCGCCATCTCGACCCCCAAACAGGCCAGCCCGTATTAAAGTTGGCCCTGCACGCCCACTGCCTTGTGGACTTGGGTGCAGTGGGCACCTAGGCGTGGCTCCCTCTGTGGGAGTGTGGGTGGGTTTGTGTGGCCCCTCCCCCATGGTGACCCTGACCGAAGCCCGGCCCCTTGACCGACATGGGGACGCTCACTGGAGGGCGCCTGCCCAGCCAGGCCAGGCCTGGGCTCTGCACATGTGATATGGAGGCTCTGGGCCCTGAGGGCCACCTCTGGGCAGCTGCCGTCTGAGGGCCAGGGTGCTGCTCTGACCAGGCTGACGGCCTGTCTCCCTCCAGTGGCTTCGTGTAATCCTGGGTCTGCGGGTGGGCAGTCATGCGAGGGACGCAGACAGTGCAGTGCCCCCAGAGGGTCGTGGGTTTGGGGTCCTGGTGCCCAGGTGGGAATCTTGATGTGCGGGGAACATGCTGGGCAGGTGCCCCCCAGGGGGTGGCTCCACACCCTGCAGTGCCAGGTCTCGGGACTGAGGAAGCCGAAGACCTGGGTTTGCGGGAAAGTCTTGTTTCTCCGCGTGGTGGCAGCTCTCCTGCAGTGCGCGTGTCAGCTGGGGGTGAGGGGGTCTTCCGACCACCCTTGCGGGAATTGCAGAAAACTAGTTGGCTGGGGCTCCCCCCGTCTGTCCCCAGGACTGCCAGGCAGCCTGGAGGGCGTCTCATGATGAGGCTCCAGCCCCATGAGCTGCTTCCTGCAGCAGTGCGTCCCAGGCCTGTGGAGCACCAGCTCAGGGTCCCAGACTGCATGGAGGTACCAGGAGCCTGCACTGGGGAGTTGCAGGTGCGGCTGGAGGGGCCTTGGCTCCTGTAAGTCCCAGGCCTCAGTCACAGCCTTTCCACACCCTGCCAGTGGGGCAGATCCCTCCTCTCCCTCTGCCTCCTTTAGAGCCCAGGGGCCTCCACCAGAGGCCAGGTGTTCTGACAGCATTTTGTGGCAGGACTCTGCTCTCAGCCCTGACTGGAGCAGCTGTCCACCCCCTTGTGCCAAGTTCCTGGTCAGAGCCCAGGAGGCCATCCAGGGAACACCAGTAACCGTCTGTCCCTGCTGCAGCACAGTTGGGGGCAGGGTGGGGTCCATGTTCCCTCCTACTATCCAAGAAGTGAGAGCCTGAGTAATGATCAGCGTGTTCTGCGTACCAGTGTTCGTTCCCGAACCTTGCAAGGGTCTGTCTGGACAACCCAGGGTGACGTTGAGCTGATTCCCAGCTCTGGCATTGGTGTGGCCTGGCTGGCCGGCTCCTAGTTCTGTCAGTGCAGAGCCCAGTGCTGGCCGGAGCCCGAACAACCTGATCTCCTAATCTAGGTTGGGGACACAGGACCATGACAATCACAAGTGAAAATTAGGTGTGGAACCTCAGGGCGGAGCTGGTGTCCTGCCAGGGATGCCTGGGGACCGGGGGGAGGACTTGGAGGAGGAGAGGCTGCAGAGAGCAGGGACACAAAGGGTGGGGGTGTCACACAAAGGGTGGCTCAGAGAGTGGGGAAGGGGCGTAGAGGAGCCATAACCAGCAGCTTTGAGGGGTGTTGGAGCCCGCCAGCCACAGAGGACTTCTCAGGGAGGGAATGGGGCATAATGTGGAAATGGTGCCTTCGTTTTCAGAGGCTGCAGACACTTTGGAAGGCACACTTGGCTGTGGTGCAGGCAGTGTGGCAGTTAGAAATGTGTGGGACGGGCCAGGCGTGGTGGCTCACGCCTGTAATCCCAGCATTTTGGGAGGACAAGGTGGGCGAATCATGAGGTCAAGAGATTGAGACCCTCCTGGCCAACTTGGTAAAACCCCGTCTCTACTAAAAATACAAAAATTAACTGGGCGTGGTGGCGTGCGCCTGTAGTCCCAGCTACTCAGGAGGCTGAGGCAGGAGAATCGCTTGAACCTGGGAGGCGGAGGTTACAGTGAGCCGAGATCGTGCCACTGCACTCCAGCCTGGCGACAGAGCGAGACTTTTTCAAAAAAAAAAGTGTGGGACAGAATGGAGGGGCCGGCCTGGACGGGATGGGGCCCCTGACCCCTGCGTGCCCGCGCTCAGCCAGCTCCTGCGCAGAGCAAGTACTCGGGGGAGGGGAGGATGGTTTGCTCCAAACTCGAATCCCAAATGTTGGCTGGCGTGGTTGCAGGATCCTTTGGATCCTGGTTTCTTCACAAATGAAGTCTTGAGGGTGGCCCTTGGGGGTCTCTTCCAGCTCTGAGTCCACTTCTGTCCCCAGCCTATAAACTGTCTGCACATATTGACATTTGGTCTCTCAGGGACTCAACTTTAGAAACGCCTTGTCCATTTTGTGCTGCTATCACAGAATGCTTGAGACTGGGTAATTTATGACAAACGGTCAGCTGGCTCACAGTACCGGAAAGGTGCCGGCATCTGGGAGGGCTGTCCGTCCAGCTACACCGTCACACGGTGGAAGGCAGGAGGGGAGCCACCGCACCCTTTTAGAACCAATCCCAGCTGTTAGGATGCAGCCTTCATGGCCTAACCACCCTCTAAAGATCCCACTCGATACTGTTACAAAGGCAATGAAACGTCAACAGGTTTTGGAGGGGACAAACATTCAAACCATAGCAGAAAGTGTGGAAGGAACAGTAACCACACTGAACAGAACGACCATGGTGATTAAAGAAACCCCAAGTGAAACCATGACCCGTTTTACATAATCCTGGAGAGAACAGTGCGGCCCCAGTGCTTGCTGGGCTGCAGGGACAGGGTCCACCCAACTCAACAGCATCCAGCAGCCCCTCCGGGCCGCCAGCAGACAGATGTTGAGAGCAGCACTGATAGTTTGGGTGGGTGTGTGTGTTAAGACAGGGTCTCACTGTTGCCCAGGTGTGTGTGTGTGTGTGTGTGTGTGTGTGTGTAAGACAGGGTCTCACTGTTTCCCAGGCTGGAGTGCAGTGGTGTGATTATGACTCACTGCAGCCTGGAACTCTGGGGCTCAAGCAATCCTCCCACCTCAGCCTCCCGAGTAGCTGGGACTGCGGGTATGTGCCACCAAATCCAGCTAATTTTTGTTACTTTTTGTAGAGATGGGGTCTCACTATGTTGCCCAGGCTAATAGCTTTAAAAAAATGATCATACAGGACGACTGGGTGAGGTGGCTCACGCCTGTAATCCCAGCACTTCGGGAGGCCGAGGCGGGCAAATCACCTGAGGTCGGGAGTTCAAAGCCAGCCTGACCAGCACGGAGAAACCGCGTCTCTACTAATAGTAAAGTACAGAATTAGCCAGGTGTGGTGGCGGGCGCCTGTGATCCCAGCTACTCAGGAAGCTGAGGCAGGAGAATCGCTTGAGCCCGGGAAGCGGAGGTTGCAGTGAGCCGAGATCTCGCCACTGCACTCCAGCCTGGGCAACAATGAACTCCATGTCAAAAAACAAAAAAAAAACCAGGAAAACAGAAGATCGATTTTACCTACAGTGCTGTAATTTCAGCACATGTGGGCTCGTGTAACCACCACGATAACCTTCCATCACCCCCGAAACTCCCGCCAGCCCTTTAGGGTTGCCCCTTCCCCCCAACCCCACCAGCCCCTGGTGACCACTGATCTATCTTCCAACCCATAGTGTTTTTCCGGGAATGTCACATAAACAGAAGCCGACCATGGGTCACCTTTCTGGCGCCTTTCTCTCTGCACAAAGTCTTTGTCCTCATGAAGCTGTCAAGTGCCAAATGCTTGTCCCTTTTCCCTGCTGGGTAATAATCCCGGTGCCACCCTTGCTATTGGTTGACGCACGTCTGGCTGCTTTTCGCTGGCTGTGAGCGGAGTTGCTAGGGACATTGCCACGGGGCTGTGAGCGGAATTTTCTCTCTCCGGTGACCCTGAGCTGCGCCTTTCTCAGACACCCGCCTCCGGAGGCCTCAGGCGCTCTGCGGGGGTTCTTGGGGGAGGAGGTGGGCGTTCCCGTTATTTCAGCGGCGCTGCCCTTGGACCTGCGGGAGGGACCGTGGGACCCGAGATATCCCTGCCTGGCCTCCGCTCTCTACCCGGGGGTGGGTCTCGCCCACCCAACCTCGGGTAAGGACGCTTCTGGAAGGAGGGGCGCCCCGGGACCCCGCCCAGCCCAGCCCAGCCCAGCCCAGCCCTTCCCCGGGCAGCGGCGCGGGAAGCGTCGGGCGGCTCACGGGCGTCGTCATGGCAACGCCGTGGGCTTCGTAGGCTGCGAGGAGCCGGGACCTCGGCCGCCTCCGCCCCTCCACGCCCTCCCCCCGCCCTCCCTGGCTGCAGCTGGACCCGGCTGCGCGGGACGCGGGGCCGCCTTCCCGGGGATCGCCAGGGACCACCCGGCGCGTTCCCTGGGAATCCGCACCCCTAGCCCCAGCGCTCCAGAGCGACCCGGGACAGCCCCTGGCTGCCTGCAGAGGGCCCGTGGGCGAGCCCCGGGTGGACCCAGGAGTGAGCACCCGGTGCGTGGGGACGATGATCCCGCGAGGGAAGCGCACGGGCGGCAGGGGCTGTGGGAGCAGCCCCGGGAGAAAGGGGCGTGGAGCGCGCGCTGAGCTGCCCTTTCCCGCAGCGGCCCCGCGGTTGGAGGTGGGTTTGGGTTTTGGTTTTTCTTCTGTGGCAACAGTTCTGTCGAGATACTACTCGCCTGCCACGCAACTCACCCATTTTAAGAGTACACCTCAGGGGTCCTGCGTGGTATTGACAAACCCGCCGCCATCACCACAGCCAATTTCAGAACATTTTCATCTCTTCGAAAGAAACCCTGTACCGTTCAGCGGTCACCCTCCTGGTCCCCATCCGGTCCCCGGCCCGCCCTCAGCAGCCCCGCACTGTCCGTAAAGCCCCGTGTCCTGCACTGTAGGTGCAATCTGTACCTTGGCATCTGTTGTGACTTTCACCTTACAGCCTTTCCAGGCTCACCTGTGCTATCGTATGGACCAGTACTTTGTAGGGGGGGAGGGGGTTGTTTTGTTTTTGTTTTTTGGGGTTTTTTTGGGTGTGTGTGCGTGTGTCTTTTATTGAGCCAGGCGTGGTGGCGGGCGCCTATAATCGCAGCTACTCAGGAGGCTGAGGCAGGAGGATCACTTGAGCTCAGGAGTTTGAGGCTGCAGAGACCTCATCGTGCCACTGGATTCCACCCTGAGCGACAGAACACAACTCTGTCTTTAAAAACAAGACAAAAAAAAAAAAAAAAAAAAAAAAAAATGCCGGCTGAGGTGGCTCGCGCCTGTAATCTAGCACTTTGGGAGGCCGAGGCGGGTGGATTACCTGAGATCAGGAGTTCGAGACCAGCCTGACCAGCATGGAGAAACACTGTTTCTACTAAAAATACAAAATTAGCCAGGCGTGGTGGCGCATGCCTGTAATCCCAGCTACTCCGGAGGCTGAGGCAGGAGAATCGCTTGAACCTGGGAGGCAGAGGTTGCAGTGAGCCAAAATCATGCCATTGCACTCCAGTCTGGGTGACAGAGCAAGACTCTGTCTCAAAAAAAAACAAGCAAACAAAAATCAGCCAGGCGTCATGGCACGCACCTGTAGTCCCAGCTCTGTGGAGGCTGAGGCAGGAGAATTGCTTGAACCCATGAGGCAGAGGTTGCAGTGAGCCGAGATCGCACACTGCCCTCCAGCCTGGGAACAGAGTGAGACTCCGTCTGATATAAATAAATAAAACAAAAAAAAATTTTTAAACAAAAACATTCCTTTACAGGTTTCTGTGTGGACAGGGTCTGCTTTTGGGTCTGCACCTGGGAGTGGAATTGCTGGGTCATGTTGTAACTGGATGTTCATCCGTATGACGAACGACCACACTCTTTTCCACAGTGGCCGTGCCGCTTCACTCCCGCCAGCAGTGTGTGATGGTTCTGGTCTCTCCACAGCCTCACCAACTCTTATTTTCTTTTTGATTACAGCCACTGTAGCAGGCATGAGGTGGTACGTCATTGTGACTTTGACCTGCGTTTCTCTGATATCTAATTGAGCATTTTTTCGTGGGTTTTACTGGCCATTTGTATATCTTAGAGAAATGTCAATTCAGATCATTTGCCTATTTTTAATTGGGTTAGTTGTCTTTTTATTGAATTATAATACTTTATTCTGGATACTAGACCCTTATTAGATAGATGATTTGCAAATATTTTCATCCATTCTTTGGGTTGTCTTTTTTACTTTTTTGATGGTGTCCCTTGAAGCACAAAAGTTTTTAATTTTGATGAAATCCAGTTTATTTTTGTTGTTATTCCTTGTGCTTTTGGTGTCCTAGCTAAGGAACCCCTGCCTAATCCAAGATCATGAAGATTTGTGTCTATGATTCCTTCTTAACAGTTTTATAGTTTATTTATATTTATATAAATATGCTTTTGAGACAGGGTCTCGCTCTGTCACCCAGGCTGGAGTGCAATGGTGTGACAGCTCACTGCAGCCTTGACTTCCCTGGACTCAGGTGATCCTCGCACCTCAAACTCCTGAGTAGCTGGGACCACAGATGCACACCATCCAACTGGGCTAATTTTTTTTGTTTTGTTTTTTTATTTTTATTTATGTATTTTTCTTGACACGGAGTTTTTCTCGTCGCTCAGGCTGGAGTGCAGTGGCACAATCTTGGCTAACTGCAACCTCCGCCTCCTGGGTTCAAGTGATTATTTTGCCTCAGCCTCCCTAGTAGCTGGGAATACAGGCATGCACCACCACGCCTGGCTAATTTTTGTATTTTTTGTAGAGACGGTTTTGCCATGTTGGCTAGGCTGGTCTGAAACTTCTGACCTCAGGTGATTTGCCCGCCTTGGCTTCCCAAAGTTCTGGGATCACAGGTGTGAGCCACCGTGTATTTTTATTTTTGTAGAGACAGGGTATCACTGTGGTTGTCCAGGCTGGTAAAATTTTAATTCTCTCTTTTTTTTAATGGGTGGGTGGGGGACAGAGTCTTGCTCTGTGGCCCAGACTGAAGTGCAGTGGCGTGATCTCGGCTCACTGCAACCTCTGCCTCCCGGGTTCAAGCGATTCTCCTGCCTCAGCCTCACAAGTAGCTGGGACTATAGGCACGCACCACCACGCCTAGCTAATTTTTAGTAGAGACAGGGTTTCATTCTGTTGGCCAGGCTGATCTTGAACTCCTGACCTCAGGTGATCTGCCCGGCTCAGCCTCCCAAAGTGCTGGGATTACGTGAACCACCACGCTGTGAGCCACCACGCCCGGCCTGACTTCTTTCTTTTGTACGTGGGTATTTCTCTGTCCCAGCGTCATTTGTTAAAAAGACAGCTCTCTCCCTGTGTAATTGTTTTGGCACCGTGTGGACACCTGCTCCCTGTAGCTGGGAGCTTCTTTCCAGCCCTCAGTTCTGTCCCATGGCCCCGTGTGTCTATTCTTACCTCCTCATGGCAGCCTTGTAGTAAGCTTTGAAATTGGGAAGTGTGAGTTCTCCAACTTTGTTCTTCTTTTTCAAGATTGTTTTGGCTATTCTGGGTCCCTCAAATTTCCATGTGAATTTTTAGGATAAGCTTTTCAGTGTCTGCAGAGGAGCCAAGTGAGATTTTGATAGGAGTTGCGTTGAATCTGTGGATGCATTTTGAGAGTGCTGCCATCTCCACTACATGAAGTCCAGGTCCGCGGATTGAGGGTGCCTTTCCATTTATTTTGGTCTTCTCTACTTTCTTTCAACCAAGTTTTGTAGTTTTCAGAGTATAAATTTTGTACTTCTTTTGTTCGGCTTATTACTGTTTTATTTTTGGTGCTATTGTAAATGAAATTTTCTAATTTCAATTTCAGATTATTCATTGTAAATATACAGAAATACAGCTGATTTTGTATATTGAGCTTGTCTCCTGCAATGTTGCTGAACTTATTTATTAGTTTTTGTTTTGTTTTGTTTTTGTTTTTTTTTTTTAGTGAAATCCTTAGGATTTTTTATATACAAGATAAGGTCACCTGCAAAGAGAGATAGTTTCACCTCTTAATTTCCAACCTGGATGCCTTTCATTTCCTTCCCTGACTGCCAGGTTAAAGCCTCAGTACAATGTTGACTAGAAGTGGGTATCTTTACTTCACATTTTTCTATTCCACTCCCAGCCCAAAAATACTAAAAACAGGAAGAAAAAGTCCATGCAAAGAGTATTTCATGAAAAATTTAACCCATTTCTTTTTCTTTTTTTTTTTTTTTTTTTTTTTTTTTTGAGATGGAGTCTCGCTCTGTCGCCCGGGCTCTGGAGTGCAGTGGCCGGATCTCAGCTCACTGCAAGCTCCGCCTCCCAGGTTTACGCCATTCTCCTGCCTCAGCCTCCCGAGTAGCTGGGACCACAGGCGCCCGCCACCTCGCCCGGCTAGTTTTTTTTTTTGTATTTTTTAGTAGAGACGGGGTTTCACGGTGTTAGCCAGGATGGTCTCGATCTCCTGACCTCGTGATCCGCCCGTCTCGGCCTCCCAAAGTGCTGGGATTACAGGCTTGAGCCACCGCGCCCGGCCCAACCCATTTCTTTTTCTTTCGCTTTCTTCCCTCTCCTCCTTTCTTTTTCTCGTCTCCTTTTCTTTCTCGCGCAGGGCAGGGCAGGGCCAGGGTTAGCAGTCCAGGGCTAGCAGGTCAGCGTAAGGTCAGAACTACTCTGACTTCTGGTGTGTACTTGTCAGTCTTTATGATATTCTTGTAGATTCAATCATGAAACATGAGTTTGATGCTGGTGTGATTGTAGGTGGTCTTGCCGTCAGGTGAACAGTTGCTCCCAAAGAGAACTGACGGCTCAGCCTCAGCCTGGAGGGCATGTAGACCTCTCATGATATAACTCAGTGCTGGGAGGGAAGTCAACAGAGTGAATTAAGGACAGAACCAACACTCAAAATGATGGCAAGAGTTGCACCCAAAGTCAACCAGATGACACGCCAACAAAATACAGTAAAAAGCCCATAAAGGTCAGTTCTTGGCTTCAAAGAAAACTATATTGGGCAGTGATGCATTTGGAAAATAGGAAACCTTGCCTGCTGGCAGACACTCTGCAAGTTAACTGTGGGATCCAGCTGCTAACTCCATCAATGTGACCTTAGACTTCATTAATGGAAGTGTCTGCCTGATTGGATGTAACAACCTCCTCACTAACTTATATTTACGATGCTGCCCCTGAGTCAGCAGTAAAAGTTCAAATTATATTCAGAATCTTCTGCTTAATAAATTAGTAAAGTGCTGGCAGGGCATGGTGGCTCATGCCTATAATCCTAGCACTTTGGGAGGCCGAGTCGGGTGGATCACTTGAAGTCAGAAGTTCGAGACCAGCCTGGCCAACATGGTGAAACCCCGTCTCTACTAAAAATACAAAAATTAGCTGGTGGTGGTGCACACCTGTAGTCCCAGCTACTCAGGAGGCTGAGGCAGGAGAATTGCTCAAACCCGGGAGGTGGAGGTTGCAGTGAGCCGAGATCGCCGCTGCACTCCAGCCTGTTGACAGAGCGAGACTCTGTCTCAAAAAAAAAAAAAAAAAAGAAAAGAAAGAAGAAATCAGAAAATGCAATGGGGAAAGCGTAACCATGGGTCTGGCTTATTCACTGTGTTAGCTCAGCTTCCTGAGCACTGGTTTGCGTATAGAGTAGGCAACTCCCAAAATTGGGTTGAAGAAATGAATTATCAACATTTTAAAAGTGTTTGCTGATTGAACAGGCAAACTTCAGATACCTAGAGAATTGCCTATGCAGAGTGCGTCATTCCCTGGTGATGTCAGATGGAGAGTGGCTGGAGTCTTCCTCTGTATATTGGTCCTTCTGATGTATTTAAAACTCACATTTAAAAGCAGTTTGTTCCGCTGGGCACAGTGGCTTACACTTGTAATCCCAGCACTTTAGGAGGCCAAAGCGGGAGGATTGTTTGAGCCCAAGAATTCAAGACCAGCCTGGGCAATGTAGTGAGACCCCACTTCTACAAAAAAAAAAAAAAAAAAAGACGGGCATGGTGGTGCGTGCCTATAGTCCCAGCTACTTGGGAGGCTGAGGTGGGAGGATCACTTGAGTCCAGGAAATGGAGGCTGTAGTGAACCGTGATCATGCCACTGTACTCCAGCCTGGG